GAACAGGAACCCACTTTTAAAAATATACCCATGTATGACCAGGCCTAAAAATTATGAACAACCTCCAATATACACATTAAAGAACTCATGAACAGCTGGTGCAACCCAAAGCAGAGGAATTTCCTTGAAATCAGACCTCAATTCAAATGCAACTTGCAAATAAAAGAATACTGAATAGATTTAGTATTAACAGTAAAGCTATTACAACTTGGCTGGCGCTCCAGGGAGAGGTGGATGAAGTAGAATAATGACCTCAGTGTTTCCAAAATCCTGACTCTGGCTCTGACTTTGAACCAAATCCTTCGCTTCTGTGGTTTAAAATGTGATGCAGAAAACCTTAAAATGCTCAAATTCAAAATAGAAACACTACAAATGAATCGTTGTCAGCATGTTGGACATTTTTTGCTCTAATTATCCACAGCACAGTCCCTCATGCTGCAATATTGGCAGATGAATCTCCATCTTTTGTATCAGTGTGATATTCCTGTTTTGCTTTAGTTTTTTTACAGTCTCTACAGTGGTACAGTTGGCATACATTCCTGAGTATGATGCATGACAAGCAAATCCTTCTCTTTTCACTCCTTGCACAAGTTCAACCAGTGCCAAATCCATGAATAAACAACTTCCAGTTTTAGAGAACTGAAAGTTGACTAACTTGACAAACCCTTGTTGAACTCCTTGCTTCACTTTGGGTCCTGGTGTTGTTGGTCAGGCTGCTCGTTGCCGTGTGTGTGTGTGTGTGTGTGTCCTCCCAGAACATTGTACGTGCTGTTTATGAGATATTATTTAATGCCATTTGTGTCTGTAAAAAAAATAAATATTATTAACATTGGAGTGCTTTCCTTTTTTTAGTTTCTTAGAAAGCAAATAAATGTTGAAAGCTGTGGTTGCACAAGTGAAAAGGAGGAAAAAAGGAGTGAGAACAAATGAAAATGTGTATAATTTAGCGAGAAAAATGAGGATTGTTTGGCGGTCAGCAGCTGAAAATCACAAGGGAGTCTGGGGAAGTATGTGCGAGTGAGTGATCAAAAGATGGGAAAAACAAAGAGGGTATTGTGTGGTGTGTTCATGTTCAGCTGACTGCCTTCTAATGTGGGTCAAAGTGAGTGCAGGGAGCTGAGCAGAATATTTAGACAGGCGCCGGACCTCGCAGCAAAGTCTCGCTGCAAAAAGGTCATAAATCATGTGGAAATGCACGTAGCGTTTTTAGTTTTCATTAAGAGCAAAACGGAGTGTAAAAATGCACCTCCGTTTAGGCTCAGCGTGCTATTCACTACACAATCACAACAGGATTAATTAGAGGTAGCATAATTAGGCCTTGGCATCCGAGGCTGTAGCCCAAATGTTTCCTGTTAAAGATATTTATATATTTTGCCCTAGATGACAGTCATAACTGCTCAGTACATCAATTCTAAAGGCATTCCTTTATAACACTATCCTCTGACACATAAATACAAAGACATCATGAAAAATGAAGTACTTATTAACACTAAAGATGGAAATGGAAGATGAGGGCAATGTAAAGTGAAAATCAACAGTTCAAATAAAACCAGAGTTAAAAGTAGATAGGACCAGAAAGAAACCTACAATAACACCTTCACATCAGGAAAAGCAAAAAAAATCTACCGCTAAGATGATAGCGATATCCACAACTGGAGGGACCTGTTGGAAAAACAAACATCCTCCGTGATAACATCTTCTTCTAGATAAGGATCTCAAACCAGATTTTCTGTAGCTTCAGTAAAGTCAGTTTGTGGATCCAAAACACTGCTCAGTGCAACAATAAGTTTTGTCTATCAGCTCATTAGTTATTAATTTGGGGTATTGTGTTCTGGAACTCTGTAGGTGAAGGTTTTCTGTTGGAGTTTTTAAGAGGTCTATTACTCAAATTGCTATTACATTTTTTAAAAAAAATAGGATTAAAAATGCAATAAAGGATTAATAACCTGCAAGATACACTCATCTCACTCCAGCTGGCAGCTAGAAGTTTGCTGGTGTCACACAGTGGCTCTCCAAAGTATTGAGTATAGATGTTCATAGATGTGATTATAGCTGTAAATCACCATAAAAATGATTAATTCCAAAGCAAACAGTTTGAAACCCACTGTGCAAGCTGGCCTGCACTCACTGTCATATTAATGTAGAACACGACCTGAGCATAGATAGAAATACAACGGCTCATGATTTAAAGTAATTTTATTAAAATTGTTATTATTTTACCTTTTTTAACCAGATAAAAGACCCATTGAGATCGAAACCTCTTTCACAAGGGTGACCTGGCCAAGAAAGGCAGCACGTCCACAAGTAAACACAACAAAACAATCACAAAATAAACATTAAAATATGGAAAGTGTAGACAGTAAGCAGATAAAGTGCAGGAGTGATGACTTCAGTAACATTTTTAAACACAGGCACTGCTGAAAGGAATTCTGTTGTCGGTCCTTTAGGGAAGAGTGAAAGGCTTCAAGGGAGATGAGTTCCGACACTTTTAGCTCCAATGAAGGGGTATTCCAAGCAGAGGGGGCAGAAAAACGGAAAGCTTCTTTTCCCAATTCAGTCCGAACTCGGGGAGCAGCCAGGTGCAGAATGTCATTTGACCGTAAGGCACAACGGTTTGTAATTCTCTGAAGAGAACAGTCAGTTCTTTACTCCGAAAGCACTTGAAAATGGTTCAATTATCAGATTAAAATCTTAAAATTTGAAGATTCTGTTTGAATGATAAGGTTGGGCCTTTAATTTGACAAAACAGTGTTCTCCAGAGCTTTAAGCTGTGCAACAGGATGAAGTTAAACCAGCTTGCATAACAAGTAAGGGCTGCTTTATCTGCTGATGAAGATCATGTCACGGCTGAAAGCTCTCTGAAAATCTGGTAACTGAATCAGTTTTCCTATTTCCAAAATCAAACTTCTCATGCAGCCACCAGCTCTTGCAGCATTAGCGGTCTCTGCTGTAGTCTAGGTCCCTTATCAAGTTATGTTCACAAAGAATTCCTCGACCTTGGTGTTATTTTTGACTTTGAGTTGGCTTTTAATGCTCATGTGACCAAAGCTGAGCAGTTGTGCTTCGCCAGGCTTTATATACACTAAGAAGAGAAATGACCGTATTATCTCAATCCAAACTGCCCTTCACTGGTTATCAGTGAGGTTTATAATTGATATATTGACTTTCTGCTTGTGTTATGAGTTTTATCACTGCATGAGATCTTAGATAGGTGTCCTATTAATGACTCCAAAGTCTCAACGTGCCACATAAGGTGACGTCATCCGTGGAGATCGGACACAAGCAAACTCAGTATCCTCTTTTATCGTATGACTGATTCTTAACTGTTGGTATTTTTTGTAACGGTTTCTTTTGTCTTGAGATATTTTGACTCCTATTTACTTGTTTCTATTGTAGTAACTGTTTTTGAAAGATGCAATATAAAAATGCTAGAGTTTCATCTTAGCAAAGTTTATTATTGACTCTGCAGGTTTCTTCCTAACTTTCTGCAAAGAGATTTAACAGTAATCATAAGAAACTTGTGCTTGTGGGACAATTTTCCCTCATTTCAGTCAGTTTGTGTCATTTCAGATAGCGGTGTTGCCTCACAGGTTTTGTTCAGTGTCTATTTTTTTGCTATTCGGGATCCATAACTGAGTTCTGTTAAACATAAAGTCTCGTCTGGGAAGCCGCTTCAGACTTCAACATATACAGAAATAGAACTTCCACAGACATGACATTTGGAGCGAACACAGACAAGATTGTTTTCAGCAGAGGCCTTTGAAAATGGTAAAAAAAAAAAAAAAAAAGTGGAAAACTCCCAAACAAGGGTGATATTGGAAATTCCCTATAAGTGTATATGTGTGGATTTATTCATATTTCCTTCTGAAAATACAGTCTTTGATCAACATTTCACCAACTTTTGGGGCCTGTAAGATCATCCATCCATCTATCCATTATCTATACACTCCTTAATCCTCACTAGGGTCACGGGGGGCTGGAGTCTATCCCAGCTGACTCAGGGTGAAGGCAGGAGACACCCTGGACAGGTCACCAGTCTATCACAGGGCTACACTTAGAGACAGACAACCAAGCACACTCACATTCACACCTACGGACAATTTAGAATCACTAATTAACCTCAACATGTTTTTGGACTGTGTGGGAGGAAGCTGGAGAACCCGGAGAGAACCCACGCTGCACGGGGAGAACATGCAAACTCCACGCAGAAAGATCCTGGGAACCTTCTTGCTGCGAGGCAACGGTGCTAACCACTGCCCCACCTTGCAGCCCCCCTCTGAGACCAGTTTAAATGTGGCAAGTATGTCAAGCCAATGTTGTTTGTTGCTATTGTAACATGCAAATGGGTGTACTCATCTGCAGGCATATAAAAACCAGAGAGCTGAGAGTGTCTTTATAAACGCGGAGTTGCTTCCACATTGTCTGATTATAGATACTTGAAATAAACACTGAACTGAGAAACTGATAATAATTCAGCATGCAATAAATCTCATGTTTATTGAATTACATTAACGCAAGTGCTGCAACAATAATCATCATTCCTCTCCTTTTTTTCTTAATTTGCAGAAAGGAAATCTGGAAAAGCGACTTCAATGACTGTGCAGGTCTGAGTGTCTAGTTTGCAGTCATCTGGTCCTCATGTGACTGTGACGGGTGACAGAAGTGAACTACTAACACCTCATCAGATGGATAAGACGTGCAATAACACATCTTCTAAACAACCTGTCAGATATGATTGACCCATCAGTGTCAAGGTCAAGTCCAAAGTTGCAGCGTCATTCTTCCTCTGCTTGACGCAGCATGTTTTGCACACAACTAGGGTTTTCATTCAGCACCTAGTGTCAGTCATTTACATCTTTTGTGTCAGGGAGTTGATCTATGCTCCAGATATGCTTATTCACGCTCTCAGGCCATGCAGAGAGCAACAAGCACAAAAGAAAAAAAAAACAAAAAGCACCGTTCAGGACATCAGGTTGAGCCGGTTGTCCCCGCCCACCTGCTCCGCCCGTCTCCTTCATAACCCACCGGAGACCCCGCGTCAGTTAACCGTCTCTCTCCCTCTCCGTCCAGCGGCTCCACTTCTCTTGTCTACAGCCACATTTGGTCCCGAAAACCGTCTCAGCCATGGAACTTGCTTACTGGGACATCCGCGGGGTGAGTTTAGCCGTTTTGCTTGTTTGCTAACACACCGGTTGTTCGCAGCGCGGCGGCCGCTAACTGCAGCCCCGAACCGCGGGTCGAGCAGCTCCCCTCACCGCCGATAGCACCGTCTGCAGCTTTTCCTGGGGTTTAAGTTAAATTAGACAAGAGTTTTCTAAGTGCATAAGGAGCGTTTAACGGTAGCTAAGATGTTATGTAAGCGCTGCTCCGCGTGGCCGAGCTCCAGGTGTCCGTTATCTTCATCATTCCAGACGGGTTTAGCATTTCCATCAGCTAAATGTTTGCTAACATTTCTAACTTCAGTTTAACGTTATTCGGATGCATTGAGCTGCTCTCTGTAGTTGAGCCAGAGTTAGTTACGTGGGACACACTTTGCACAATAAGCTTACATTTCCACTCTCATACTTCGTTTCCAGTGTACAACAAAAAAACAAAGAAACTAGCACCACTACTGTTCATTGTGCAAAGTCGAATCATTCAAAGCTGCACCTCCTCAATGGGTGCATCACGTTGAACACGAGCTATGTGCTCTTACGTAAGTTTACATTTCTCATCCTACAACCTCCACAGTAGGAGCTTCATGCAACGAAAGTTACTCACCACTAAGCTTTAGATCTCCTCTTTTTCAGTACTTCTTGTGCGCTTCATGGAGCACGCACATGTTGCACAGATGTTATGCAATTCTGCAAAGACCATTTATTAATCTGTGACTTGCTGGGCTGCTCTGCTTTTCTCTGTACATGCTCTGTTGGATGTGAGTCAGGCACCGTTCTTGGCCAGATCGTGGTTTTCACTTTCTTCAGTATCTCTTGTGTGATTTATTGCAGTGTGCTTTAAATCATTAACATGCTGGAATATTCCTCTCCTGCCAAGCTTTTGCAGACTGGGAGTCATATTGTCAGCCAGTATTTTGATAAATCCACAGCTGTTCATCGTAAATGTTATCCCCCCAAGCACCTTTAGTACTCATGTGGCCTCATATCATGATACTTCCACCTCCGTGCTTCACTGTTGGGACCGTGCATTTACTGTAGTAATCCTGGCCAAGATGCTGGACCACATCTGAGCCCAACACCCTCATTTTGGTCTTATCTGCTCAAAGAATGTGCTCCCAATTTTCATCAGGAATACTTTTAATCTTCTTTAGCAAAGTCTAATCCTGTAGTTTTGTACCAAATGGCAAAGCAGGGCTTTCTTTCTTGGTCCCCACCCATTGAGGCTGATATTATGACCTTTCCTTCACAGAGACACAAATTTTCATCGATAGCTCCTGTGCCACGTCTGAAGCACTCGCCCATGTGTTTTTTAGAGATAGATTGTGATAATGGTGGTATCATTTTAGGAGAATGGCCACAGCAACTCTTATTAGTAGTCCTATGACTCGTGCTATAACTCCTGCCAACTGTTATTTAGTTGGTCCCCTTTCATTACTTTAGGAGACTTAAGATCAAATTTAATTTTTTTAAAATTCCCTTTGAAAATTCTTTTCCATGTGGAGCCATGATGCAGACGTGCATTTAAACACAGCCCATAGTTCAAAAAACTGAAAGTTCTGGAGTTAACAGGTCACTTCATAGACATATCCTTGCAGCTGGGATAAACGGCAAAAAAAATACATGTCAGCTCGTAAAATGACGCAGTTCCTCTGATGTGATGCAATTTGGGATTATTTGACATTTAAAGGAGATTGCACACATGGGGTGTAGTCACTTTTGTTGCATACTGTTAGAGACTGACAGGATTCACTTGGAAGACACTTGTGCACACAGATTGTTCAACTGGTCAAAGTTCAAGTCTCTAAATGGTTAACTAACTACGAGCCTTCATGCAATCTAAACCTGTGGTATGGTATGTGATGTATGTCATAATACCCTTATTTCTCTTTTGGAAATGACTTTAGCTCACTTCCTGTTTTTAAATGTACTATATAACGAATGGTAACATCACAGATCATCATGAGGCATATACTGGAAAAACAAAATGCAAACTTAGAATTTAACAGTAACATAATGGTACCGGATAAGTCGCTTGTATTTATGTGATTGTTGTTCACACAAAATGCACTTTAACAATGTGTCGATTCAAATCAGTTGACAATAAAACACAGAATCTAACATTTGTGTCTGTTGTAGCTGTCAAGCAATTCTAATTTTTCTTTTGTACAACTAATTTGTGAACTGACTCAATTTATCAACTAGTTTTTTAGCATATAAAACACAACTGCTTGTATATGAAGTGGTATTTATGTCATCAAGGGGGGAAAGTTGCCACTTCCCTCATTTTCCTCATTATCTGATAATAATAAGAACAAATGACAGGCCGTGTCTGATGCAGCTTTAAACCTTAAATGTGTTAATATTAAACTTCTCTCACTCTCTCTCTCTCACTCTCTCCCTCTCCCTCCCCTCTCACTGATTCATGGACACTCATGCAGCTTGCCCAGCCCATCCGCCTCCTGCTGGAGTACACCGGCACAGAGTACAAGGAAAAGCTTTTTTCCTGTGGTGAAGGTAATTTATCATTTCAAACGACATACAGACATAAGTGTCATTTTACCTGAAGATCTGGTTCATTCATGTGACCCACATTTTTCTCACACAGGCCCAGACTATGACAAGAGTTGCTGGTTTGGAATCAAAAACAGCCTTGGATTGGACTTTCCCAATGTAAGGAAGTTCAACATGTGCATATTAATTTAATTGCGAAGCAAGTTTAGACCATCGCCTGATAACGGTGTTAACATCTCACCACAGCTGCCCTACTTGGTGGATGGAGAAAGGAGGATTATGCAGAGCAACGCCATCCTGAGATACATCGCTCGCAAGCACAACATGTGTAAGTGTTGTGTGTGTTTACTCTACATGAATATTTTGTTGATAAGATATACAGGAGGTTTTCTTCAGTCTTGTATAAATTGTTAACTCTATGGCAAAGTGTCAAACTAATACAACCACAGCTGGGGGGGGGGGTTCACGTTTTTAAAAAGAAATTTGAATTCCCTGCTTGTCTGATCTGATAACAGGCGGAGAAACTGAGGATGAAAAGATCCGAGTGGACATCATTGAGAACCAGGCCATGGACTTCAGAAATGGCTTTGTGACCCTTTGCTACATGAACTTTGTAGGTGTTTAGTTAAGTCGCATTTAATGTTATTTGACGTCTTTGAGTCTCCGCTAATGCCAGTCTCTCACAACAGGATACCCAGAGATCATGTTATGTTGAAAAGCTTCCAGCTACACTGAAGCAGTTCTCCGATTTCTTGGGAGACAGAAAGTGGTTTGCAGGTGACAAGGTATGCTGGCACCTAATCATTGGAAGCTGTGTTTTCTTTTATAAAGCTGCATTAATCTTACATTTTTTGTTTGTTTTTGTTTTATTTTTTATTATTTATTAAATATGCACTTAAGGATGGCACTTTTAAATTTCATTGTTCCCGTACAATGACAATAAAGACATTCTGATTCATCAGGTTTTCTTACTACCTACTCTATGGTACAAGACAGAAATTGCATATATTTTGGTCGTATACAGTGTTTTCACAAACATGTTAGCAGACAGTTGACTGACACATAAAGGAGGCACAAAGTAGTATTAAGTGTTGCTGCTGGTAGATGTCACAAGTGTTGTCTGTGTGTTGTTTGATGCTGGTGATTTGTCTGAAATATATATATATATATATATACATATATATATATTAGCTAGAAACTGTAGTGATCAGAACTATTTAGGCAGTGAAACCAAAGCAATGATCTGAGAGCTGCAGAACTGACTAATTCTCTGTAATTCTTGTCTGATTGTTCGTATAAAACTATTCATTGAAGCAGCTTTGAAGTCTGCATTGTGTTGCATTCAGTGTGTTAAGTTAATGTAACTTTTCTTTACAACAGATCACGTTTGTGGACTTCACTATGTACGAGCTGCTGGATCAGCACAGGATGTTTGAGCCGAAATGCCTGGATGATGTCCAAAAGCTCAAAGACTTTTTGAGCCGTTTTGAGGTGAGACGGTTCAGCTGTGTGTCAAATACCAAGATTAGAAGATTAGAACCTACACCTACCTCAAAGCTGTAGTCAGGAAATAGACGCTTCCTCTGAAGCCTTTTTAACTACTTCTGTATTCTTGTGACAATCTGTATGAAGTCTGTGAGTAAGTGATGCATCAACGGAGTTACTTCTGTTGTAGCCTTGCCATGAAATGTTAAAGAAACCGAGTTGTTTCGTTGTTGGTTTTTTAACTATAACTATAATACTTTTGTGTTTTATCTTAGGCTCTGGACAAGATTGCTGCCTACATGAAGTCAACCAAATTCATGAAGTCTCCAGTCAACAACAAGATGGCCAAGTGGGGAAACAAATAAGACCGAAGAACAGTTCATTCAAGCCTTTGAGAAATAATAGAACCATTTTCACAAGTGCAACTAACTCAGTAACCAGGAAATTCAGGATGAGAGAAAAGCTGGTCTGTACCATTTCTTTTTATAACCCGTTAACTACTTGGATAGTTTTGATTTCAAAATTGTGTTGAAAATGTGAAAGGTGAAACTTTAATTCCAGTAAAGCACTTATCACTTGTTACATTTGAAACTGATTTTTGACAAATAAAATAAATCTTGTACTGACTGTTTCTTTTCATTCGAGATTCAATTTTACCACCACATTTTGCACATCAAATCACAAATGAAAACACTGATGAAAAAATACTGAGGGTATAAGTTAAATGCAGCAGAAAGGCAGAAAATGCAATGTACTTTTTGAAAAATATATGTATATACAATCACGAACAAAGGTATACAAACACTTATAAAAACCATGTTCATCATGGCAGTCACTGAGTTTCCAATGACTCCTATTACTGATTTATTGTTATTATTATTATTATGGAACCTATGTGTCTGTCATAGATTTTTTGAAGGTCTTATGGAAATATGACAGTGTGTTTTAGTGTTGCCATGGGCTTTGTGGCTGCTGTGCAATAAGGAAGCCTTTCCTATAGAATCAGTATATTAAAGCTTGACTGAAGTTTGCTGCTGTTTATATAGACAGGAAACAGCCTTCAGGAGAATTTCTGTGGTCAGATGAAATAAAAATTGAATTATTTGGCCAAACTTGACCAGAAATATATTTGGACAGATAGTGAGGCTTTTAATACCAAGAACACCAAACCTACCATCACGCATGGTGGTGGCAGTATGATGCTCTAAGGTTGTTTTGCTGCCACTTGAACTGGTGCTTTACACAAAGTAAATGGAATAATAATGAAGAAGGATTACCTTCACATTCTTCAGGAAAACCTAAAATCATCAGCCAGAAGGTTTGTTCTTGGACACAGTTGGGTGTTCCAACAAGCCAGTAATCCCAAATACACTTTAAAAGTGGCTAGAATTAGGGTTTTAGACTGGCCTCCCCAAAGTCCTGACTTAAACCCCATCAAAAACCTGTGGACTGTGGTGGAAAAACAAATATGTGTCCAAAAGTCCACAAATTTTGTTTAACTGTACCAATTCTGTCAAGAGATGTGGTCAAAGATACTTATAAAACTTGTGGTCAGTTTTCAAAAGCATTCAGTTGAGGTGAAAATAGTCAAAGGACATTTAACCAAACGTTAGCATTTCTGTATGTACATTTTTGATCCAGCAGATTTCATCCTATTTCCAGAAAAACTATAATAAATCAATGAAAAAAAACCCTGAATGTATGACTGTTTTTTATGTGACAAAGACAGATGTGCTTCAACAGTTTCATCATGGAAAATTCAGAGTTACAGGATTCACTGGAAACTCAAGACTGCCATGATATACATGGTCTTTACAAGTGTTTGAAAAATTTTGTTCACAGCTGTATATCTCATGACACTCAATATGGTTGATAAGATGGAAACAAAATTGGTTGGATCATAAATATCTACATATTTTTGTATTTAACCCAATTCAGGACTTTCATGTTGCCATACGTAGAAGGTCTTTCGGGATCCATTGAACCCCAAGAAAGAATATGAGCAAAATACTTGTTGGTGTTCATCACAGATGTTTATACTATGTTAAATACATTTTCTGATAAGTTGACGTATTTTTGGTTCCAAATGCACGACAAATGTCCCTCTTTTTATATTTAAAAATCTTTAAAAAAAAAAATGCCTGTCACCTAAACCAAATGGCCTGACGTCCAAAAGACCCCAAAAGTCCTGAAGAGGGTTAATCAAAGTCAGGAAAACTATACAGTTTACTTAAAAAGAATACATGATGAGTAAAATCAGTTACAGTACAAAATTAATTCCAGAGTAAATGACAATTACTGCATAAGTTTATAAATTATGAAACATGTGAAAGTCTCACTCTAGAAGTGCTTTCCCTGAAATAAAGTAATCAGCATCGGATGTAGTTCAATTCATGCTGAAAGTAGGATTAATGTTGACACTGTAGACGTTGATCCGTGGATGGAAATTCAAGAGAAAAGAATCGGATGGATTGGAGTTGTGGTTGTTAGTAGCGACCGTGATACAGCCTTGGTGGTTCACTGGCCAGCTGCAGAGAACAGGATGAAATTTTAGTCATGTGCTCTAGTTAGGTGTGTGTCCATATCCTATAACGAATCACCTACTTCAATTGATGTCCTGATGCCCTGAAGCTGGAAGAAGACCTTTGCTCCTTCTTCTGGACACACAGCTCTTATTTCATCTCTAGTCATTTCCAGGAGAAGTTTTCCTGTCAGCACGCCGAGGCTTTTGACGGTGCTGTTTAAGAGAAGGCACGAAACAAAAAATATCCACTTTAATACATGCAGTGCAACTCTTATTTCCTGTGCAAACATCGTGGGGTTCCCAGTGTCTCTCTCTGTGGAATACTCACATTCTGGAGAAACCTCTGGACTCAAGCCAGGCCTTCACCTCTGCAGGAGAGGAGTTCATGTCCAGTGACACAGCGCTGCGATTGTCCCGCTGTGAGGGAGTGTAAAGGTGTGGTGAATTTCTGATCTGGCCACCACACTCCATGAATCACTCTTACACCAAATAACCAGAGCACATTTGAGAAAAGGAAAACTAAATCCGAGTCTGGGATCTTCAATCTTTTTTGTACAAAACACACAGTCGCCTGCAACAAACTGAGCTGGTTTAGACGTCAGCTGAAGCTGTTGCAGAAAGCAGCAACTTAAATAAGATCATGTAAACAGCTCAGTGTGCATCACAGGTCTCCCCAGAGTTTGATTATCAGCTGATTCTCACCTCCTGTCATGATCTGCATCGCCACATTGTGTGCCATCATCTTTGTAGGCTTTTTATTTATATTCAAATCCCATAGAATCGTTGTTTTCGGTACAGCTTGTGATCTGAATGCTGAAAATGGCAGAATGGCTCCTACCAATGATGCATGGAGGTCTAGCAGAACATCCTTCCTAAAGCTTCTTGTCAGACTTAACATACTGACCCATATGGCCTTTTCTTATACGTATATATGACTAGTACAGTTCTCCTAAAAATGATTTTAAGTTCTATGATTGTATACGTCATCATGTTTATTAAATATATGTAAACACAGAGAAAAGTGGTCGACTTGGGCTTACACTGAGTTATAATTTCCGTCAAAGGGGTGTGACATGGGAAATCAGGTAGGCTACCACTTAACTCACCGGTAGGTCATCCATGGGTTGGGTACCATCCATCGGCTCCAAAACATTCTGAGGAACGTGACCTTCCTCACCTTGTACGTTGCGAACAGTCCACCATTGCTTAGATTTCTGGATCACCTGTAAAAGAAAATGCTTTCAAGTACCTGAATGCTAATGTTGACAGTAATGACAGCTAAGATTGTGACAGTGGTAAATAAACAAACTTGAATTTGATTAAAGCCTTTCAGAACTAACGCAGGCTGAATATTTAGGAGATCATTAAGACTGGACATCAGCTGCTTCAGTTCCTGTGTCTGCTGGAGGCATCTCAGAGGCCACATTTGTATTGTATCACTGAATAATTGCAACCCTCTATTGTCAGCTAATAGTCTACGTGCATTGCTTAGATTGCAAAAAAAAAGTATAGCAAAAAAGAAGTGTTGGATTTTAGAGGAACTGTGATGAATGCAGATCTCATCCCTGTTGTCACTGCAGGACAAAGTAGACCTTTTTTTCTCAGGTTTTAGGATTCATGATTTTCCCAAAATTAGATGAAGAACGACAATACATAATGATATATCACGATATTTTGAATTTAACTCTTGTATCATGATATGTATCGCTAGATTCTTGCTCTACATAAGTTTTCATTGTACCACTGGTCAACACACTGGGTGAAGGATAATCTGCTGCAGCTTCCAATGGATGCGACCACATCTGTACCATATTTTTCTTTTCTTTTTTGCAGTTCATGCTGTCCAAGAGCAAGCAAATGACTGTAGCCAAGTTGCCTTCAGGACAATTTTTGGCCACCATTCTGTGACAGCTTCCGTCAGTGGTGGCCGATGCCAAAATCCAAATCCGACTCCGAAGCCAGTAAATTCTGAACCTGTCATTCTAAATTGTCACATTTTACTGAGGTGACACAGTGGTTTGTATAGCAAAAAGTAAATCTTCTAGGACTTTTATCTACAGCTACAAGCAATCTTTGCACTGTGCTGGATAATACAAGAAGAAATCTTGTATTTCTGGGTCAGATCATTACCATAAGACCTTTGCCATCTCACCTGCACCACCTCATCCTTCAAAACACTCAGCTCTTGGTTGTTCCTGGCCATGAAGGTGTAAATGACGCGCATTGACATCGGTTGCTCGTGGGGGCTGAAACAGCAGCAGAGAAACACTCTTGAAACAAAGCATCCAGAATCAAGCACAGGGTCGAAATATTGGCCATAAATGTGATAATGAAGCAGTATTTCCTGCTGTGTAATAATGCTTACTATGATGGTGGCGGAGGACTCCATGAACCGTTGGCCACAGGCTGTAAAAGGCATAAAAATACATGGTGGTGAAAATGAGTACAAACCTTTCGTTAACAGCCTCACTGAAGTTATTTTTATTCTCCTGTTGCTTTGAAAACTGTCATATTGAGAGGTGCTAACTAAATGCCAGATGGTTGCAGTGATTATAACTGTGAAAGCCACTTAGAAAAGCTGTCAATCCTTTTCAGTGGTGATAATATAATTTCAGCTACTGTCAACATCAGCTAATGAGTAATTGTTACTGCGGTGTGAAAACAACAGGGTTCGATCATTAGCACTGTAATCTACCATATGGAAGCACTAACAGAGCGACAGCTGGGTGTGCGGCCTCGACAGGTACCTAATTTCTCTATAAACACAGTCCCAAACATTGCTGAAGCTGTTCACACAACAGCATAAGACACATAATTTGATGGATACCCTGTTTGGAGGCGGGATTTCAGGTGTGTATCGTTCAACCTCCTGCCGGACAGGAGGGAAGCGCTGGCTGTTGGCCCTGCTCATTGGACGGCTCTGAGAAGAAACCGAGGGAGGCATGTAGATGGGTGCCGGTGGCTGCCAGCCATCGTAGAACTGTGGGACGTAAGGTGGCACATCACCACCCATCCATCGAGACCTGCGAGGGAACAGGAAAGCAAGAAATCGTCAGCCAAGTAAAATGGACTAAGTATGCACCATACTGGAAATGATGAAGGGTAGATGGAGACGTGGTTCAGTAACAAGAATCAGAATAACACTACCATTAACACGTATACAGTAGGTCTGCACACTATGAGGAAAGCCTACAGTGTAAGATAACATGGTTTAATATTAACACTTTGTGATAAATAAACAAGTCATAAAGTGTCTATATTAGCTTTACAGTGCCCTTGTCTTTCTGCTTTATTAGCCACAATACAAACATTGACCTCCTGAAGGCAACGGAATAAAGAGATGAAATTAATTATCTTATGTACCGTAAAATATAATAAATATAGAGGTATGCCCATTACACTGATAGCTTGACTTAAGATAAAGACGGAAGTAAGAAGAAACAGCCATCCTACAAGTGTCCAAAGGTTGAAAAAAAAAATCTACCTACAGGCATCTCCAAAGCTCACCGATCAACATGGAACCAAAGGGTGAAGAACGACAAGCTGTGGTTTGACAACTAGTCTCCATTAAGAGTGTCCACGTGTTGCTTGGCCGTAACTTTCTGACTGCAGATTGTTTTATTTTCTGACCAAGGCAGCCAAGTAGTTTCACATTAAACGGATAGACATGAGTGAGGAATTAATCCTCTTATCAAACTCTCCAAAAGAAATTCAAATGAGTTTACAAAAGCCGTACATCTAATGGTTCAGTCATGGTAAATAACTCATTCACTAATTCAGTTCACAGCCTACAGTAAACGAGAAAAACTTTTGGGTTGCTGGGTTTGTGGAAAATCCCTTAGGCTGATGTTTATTCCTACTAAAAGGCAGATATATACAGTATTTTGGCAATACAGTTTATTATCAGATGATCAAGGGCATGTAACCTGCAGTAGTTCCTTGTTGTCTGTTGCCAAATTTTGAATCTTAAGTAGAATTTATCATTTTAAATCAAATTAAAACACAGCTATCTAACATTTTTTTCCCCATATGTCATGAATGCAGCTTTAACTCTGACTCTGTATTTACGTATCAGCAAACAGCTGCACTACGCCCCAAGTTAAGGCGTGCCAGGGCAGGTATAGGTGCTTTTACAATCAGAGTTCTGGTCATGAGAAGGTCATCCGACTTGCGTAAGTGTCAGAGGACTATAAAGGCTGCCCTACCTGGAGATATTCCAACAATCTCCCAGAGATCTCCACAAGTGGTCTTCCACCGGGCTGACGACCTGATTGAGCAGCCCCAAGGCCGCATCCGTCAGCAGGGGAGAGATCACACTGGGAGGCACTTCTGTGGAATATGTAGGAACAATCTGTGGAAAAGTAACGCCGCACCTTAGTATAGCAGAGCGACAATGACTGGAAATAACCAGAATACAGACTAAGAAAAGCTTACCATGCCTAAACAAGTGAAGAAGATGTGCACGTAGTCGGCAGCAGTGGGGCCGCTCAGTGTCCCATCCAGCTGGCCCTGTTATATAACAAAGAGGTTTTCAGTCCAGTGTTTTTTTGGCTACAATTATGCATACCAGTCGACACAATCGAGCTCTCAGCCAAATTCTTCACAAATAAAAACACTTGAGTCGTCAGTATATAATCTGTTGGGACATTTAACCGAACAAGTATTTACCAGCAGATTGAATCCAAATTTGATTTTCTGAAGACAGGAGACATATTCCTCTATCGGCGGCAATGTTTGAACTGGTGCTGCAGGAGAGATAAAGTTAAACACTTCACAGACATCTGTAAGAAAGAGTCTATGCTCTGTACCTATAGGCACTATTCTGTAAAGACAAACTAGTCAAGAACACTACCTTTTTTTTTTGAGTTATTCATCTTGAGCAAGCCCTTCTTCTTCTTGTCCTCTTGCGGTTGAGGTGCATTAAATACAGCCGACAGTTTGTCCATGAAGATCTCCATGTCGTTTATAACATGGTTTAAAATGTCCTGAAGAAAGCAGAATGAAATAAAACTATGTGAAACAGAAGCATGAACGAACAGGTTTCTCCTTAAGATGAGACACATAATTAGTCAATTTTCATTTATTATTGATTGATATAACCCTCTAACGATGGCAGCACTGACCGTTTTCCTGTCTGCTTCAGCCTTGTCATGAGCATCCTGTAGTTCATTATGGTCAGGATGGGGAAAAAATTCTTCTGGTGGGCTGTGGACTCGTGGTAGAGGCCTATGAACTGATTGGAAACAGAGAAAAGAGGAAAAGAATTTAAGAGGATGTCGACAGTGTAAAATGCACTTGTCTGAGTTTATAGCTTATTTGCCGAGAACACATCGATGTATAGTTTTATTGAGGAAATTACAAATGTTCCAGTCAGTCAGTTGTAGATAAGAAAGATTGTGTATGCTTATTATTATTATTATTGATACAACTCCAATGTACAACACCTATAAAAAGTATTCAACCCTCTTGAAATTTTCAATTTAATCTCAATTTGTCAATTTAATTTTTGGGAAAGAATTTTCACCCGAAAAAATCTCTTTCATTTTAAAGGCAGAATTAAACAGATTACTACAAAGTCATGTCAGTTAATCAAAAATATAAAATATATAAAAAAGTGATCGCGTAAGTATTCATTCCGTTTAAAGTGACCTACTTTATTCAACACAAGTACAGTCAATCAGTGCTCAAAGTCACACAATTAGTGAAATAGAGATCACTAAGCGCAGTGAACGTGTCTCAAGGTGTTGTAGTATAAAGACACCTAAATCAGGAAGGTTCCTGTCACTCCTGGATAAAGCTACACCATGAAGAAAAACAAACACTCCAAGTAAATATGTTAAAAGGGAATAGGTCAAGACAGTTTCCAAGTCACTAAATATCCCTCGGAGCACAAGTGAATCCATTATAGGGGATGGAAGGAATATGGCACATGCGTAAGTCTGCCGAGAGCAGACCATCCTCAAACATGGAATGGCTATGTAATGAAGAGAATATTGAATGAGGCCACTAAGACACCTTTGACTGAAGGAGTTACAAGTTTCAGCAACCGAGAAGTAGGAGACTTTGCCTATTCTTAAACAGTACAAGCTTCATGGGAGAGTGACAAAGCGAAAGCTACTGCAAAAAAAATTATTTTAAATATAGACTTAGAGTTCACCAGAAGGCATGTGGGAGGCTCTGTAGTCATCTGGAAGAGGGGTTTTTTTTGCTCCGATTAGATCAAAATTGGACTTTTTGTCCATCAGATTAGATGCTATGTTTGGCAGTCACCAAACACTGGTCATCATTACAAACAATCCCCACCAAGAAGCATGGTGGTGGCAGCATCATGTTGTGGTGATGCTTCTCAGCAGCAAGTTTGTAAAGCAAGAAGGTAAAAAGAATGCAGCAAAGTATAGTGAAATGCTAGAGGACAACCTGAGGCACTCTGCAAGAGAACTGCGACTTGGGAGAAGACTTGTTTTCCAGTAAGACAATTACCTGAAGCATACATCCAAAACTACATGGAAATAGCTTTAAAGTCAATAAGGTTCTCAATCCAATTAACAATCTGTGGCTGGACTTGAAAAAAGCTGTTCGCTCACCATCCCCATACAAACTGACAGAGCCTAAGTAGTTTTACAAAGAAAAATGGGGTAAATTGCAGTGTCCAGATGTGCAGGGCTATTCACACAGGCTCAGTGCTGTAACTGTGATCAAAGCTGCATCTGCAAAACGCAATAAACGAGGAAAAGTTCCAAGGGTGGTATATACTTTTTGTGGGCCTGTACCTGGCTCTCTGTTGCCAAACTGTGGGGGCGGATGAATCGGTGGCGACGGGGTCCTCTCTCGCTGAACAGGACGGGGGGAAGGGTTCCGGAAACCTCCTGCAGTATGGTTACCAATGATATTCCCGAGATGACTCCTGCAAAACATTAACAGATTTCCACATTAGTCCTTTGTCTGCTTTCCTATGAGTGGGATTTTGTCTCTGTCTGCACATGTATTTTAACACCGTACCTGATGTCGTACTGGTCTCTGCTTGGTGGTTCCATATCAGCACCTCCACCTTTTTGGATGATCTTATCCAGATCACTCTTAATGACATCTGCCTGTAAAACAGACCTGCTTTTAGTCAATTGCCTACATCCATGCTTTTATGATAATAGTTTTTAACATCCTCCCTTCTTTGGAGGCTTTTAGGCCAAAGTAAAGCTCAAGAGATCAGTGACGGTTCTCGTGAAATGTAACTCACCCCGGTTTCCTCACACTGGAACATGTAGACCTGGTGGTTGCGTTTGCTCCGTTCCTGCACAGTTAATGTCAGCACAGAGTTGTAGACGCCGCTGTTCAGCACAGCTTTGCTTTGCAAGATGGAACCGAAAGGCATCGCCTCCAGCTCCGACTGAGGAATAAAGATTGACCAAGCGCAAGTTAATGGAACACAGTTTATATTGGCACGCAGATCAAAGTGAAGTCAAACGTATTTCTAATATTTTGTAATGTCGGTCTCTTTATGCTTGTCTCCATCTTGATGAATGTTGGTTGACTGAGACAATGGTAGTTATAAAGATAGAAATAAGTTTGATTCCAGACAAAGTCGCCACCATCCTTTTGCAAATACACACATCTAAGCAGGATTTACTGTTAAGATGTACGGTTATTTTAAGGTATAGTTACATGGCAGTTAAAACAGTCATGGTTGTGTAATTTTGCTAACTGATCACCTTTTGCTGTGTACTTTTGGTTCTTCTGCTCAGTTTTTAATCAGTGGCATGTCGGCCACAAGATCCCTCCAGTTTCTACAAGAATCTGTCTTTGTAAATCAACTAAGCTCCAC